AAATGCATGTAATGCTGGGTGACTTCGGAATTTGCGGCTCAAAGGAGTCCCAACCTTGCTGACGCCAACGGGTGAATGGGCGATGTTTGTCCGCAGGACCCGATAAATATTATCACTTTCTGAAAAGGGAAAAGTGAACTTCTTATCTTGTATAAGCCAGTAGGACAAATATACACAGTATCAACCGCATTTATCCGCGTTTCAATGACAAGAGAAGCCGATAAAAGGTCAAGGTAACGGGATAGAGGTGTCGATGCAGTGACCATCCGGTCTTGTTGAATTTTCTCAGGCCCCACAAGTGCTTGTAGCCCAAATGCGACTAACTAGTTCTTTCTCATTAGAATCGGTGAGTTTTCATAAGGTTTGGCGTGTTTACGGCATCAGACCATGTATGGCACGCGTAGTCGAGTAGTTTACTTTGGTCCGTCATTTGAGCTTAATTCCAGCGGCAGCTATTTGACGGACTCAGACGACGGAGTGGTGTACGGGAGAATGCGAAGTCGGCTCTGGAGACACGCAGTTCTAAATAATCATGGTGCGCTAAACCCGTTGCTAGGACGGATGTCAACTGATGACATAGTACAGCCCTCTCAGGACGGGGAATCAGGCTGCAATGACACCCTCTTAATGTGGCCCCTATGGCACTCCCCCTCAATTGAGACCTGAGCTGTCCATTTATTTTCCGTGTGAAAACCTGACCCATTCCCCCTAACCAGACATGTGTGGCACGCATATTCGGACTGATTGACTATGTCAGTCACTGCGCTCGATCCCGACTCCGGTTTTCTTGACTTTACCTTGATACAGGATCCAAGTAAGTAAAGGAGGATAAAGTGCGGTAGGTGCCGTGTCAGTCCACTGTCAACAAAACTGATTCACGTGTAAGTCGGCGTCTCTGTGCCCACTTTGATTTGGTGCACACGATGGACATCATTGATTGCGAAGGTCAAACTGTCAGATAGCAATGAGCAAGTAGGCGCTATGGCAATCTGTTCGTTCGTTAAGAAGGCAGAACTAGACCATCAGTTGGTAACCTTAACAGCAATGGCACTTAGCGTGAAAATCTATTATAAGGCTGAAAGGATCGCGCTGGGGGATGAACTTCATTTTGTTTTCACCAACCCCTATGCGGCAGTCAAGAATGATTAATAATTACAGGAGGTAAGAGGTTGACCAGGTACTTTGCCATCGTTTCTACCGAGTCGGCAAGAGTCCACAGAACTGGACCAAAACTAGCACTAATGCAGGAGAAGCTCATATGAACTGAACCAGGGTGCCTATCCAAACAGGCAAATCTGCCACGTAAACGAACGTCTGTGCCGATGAAAAGAAAGCCCTGCTGCGAAGAAGAATCCTTGCGCACCTTTCCTCCAACAGGGCGTTTTCAGTCCGTGGTGAGATTAGAGACTAGCGGAGAAACAGACAGAAACCTGTTAATGGCCTCTGTAGACGACTTAAAACCAGTGGAGGAAATTCGTGCACCGTTGCTTCGGCTTAGTGAACCAGGACAGCTTAATAAAAAGTGAATGATCAAAATAAGGGAGTACCGTTTACAGTATCAGCAGC